TTTTGTTGGTGGTTACGACATCCATCAAATTGACCAATCCCGTTTTTAGATAAGGTAGAGAAAATAACAGATAAACTATAAAGTTTTAATGAGAAAAAATGTTTGAAATGCATTTAGGAGCTTTTAGGGAATACACAAAGGAAATCTGAGATTTTTGAGATGAAGAAAAGTATTTTTAGTTGTAACATAAATTACTTTGCACATGGACTATTCAAAACAAACACTCAATATATTCATGGACACAACTTTATTTTATTTTATTAAAAATACTTCACTAAAAGATGTGATTTTTTGTATGTGAAGGGCTTATAATATGAACTGCTAAATTTTGGGAAGATATACGTACTATATTGAAAGTTAGCAGTACTAAATCTGTAAAGACTAATCGAGTACAAAGAGGTCACATGATTGGTCAAATTGACTGAGCCTGTGTTGAGAGTTAAATGAAGTACTACAGTTTTAACAAGTTTTTGATGTATTATTACATCACAGTAAGAGTGATGATGATTTTTAATCACATGATTCTTTACTAGTCTGTTAGAGATTTTCAGTTAAAATAATGTGTAATGAAATTTTGTGTAAACTGAATCTAACATACATTGCTGCTGATGAAATTTTCTATTAAGTAACAAGGGTTGCCAATTTTTTTAATAAAATCTACTTGTCCATGGGACAAAATGCTGTTAACACACTGAATGTAGATATCTCCACCAGCTTCAATATGTTACTGAGATTGGAAGGAAGGTTTTGTTGACAGCTTGGTTGAGTATAAAGACAGTAGTGGTATATTTTTGTGCTTGGAACTTTCATGTGTAATTTTAGTCCACTAAACTTCTCCACAGTTTCTGCCATCTCAATGAAAATAACATCAAAATGGATAGAATTTGTGCAATTTCGGATTTGCCATACGAACTGAGCTCTACTTTCTATGCAAAATATGTTGTCAAAAACATTGAGTGTCTCGGCTAACATGCAGTTGAAGTTAGAAAACCTTTTGTCAGTGTACTTGATGATTCTGTCAATTAGTTTAGCATTACTTGTTAAACTGACTGCTGAGTGGCAGTGACCAGACAACTTTCTCTCGACTGTATTGTTTCCAAATTTTCTTTCTTCTGGGTGGTACATCTTAAGAAGCTGCAGCATGTGTATACCTGAATCATTCTTCAGTGCTACTAATCTTAAAACACTGTTCCACTACAAGCTGGATGTGTATCAACAGTAGGTCATTGGACTGAAATAATTCAAAAGATGTGATATTGGCTCTAGGAATTATCTTAGGCTGTAATATTTTGATGAAATTGATACTAGTGACTTCAGTGATGACCTTCCTTGTCTTAACTACATCTCATCACTGTCAATGCTAACTTGACCTAAATGCAAAACTACAACCTGAAGGTTTTGCTACTTGGCATTTAAAGCTTTTGCTTTGCTTGAGACCCATCACATCTCTTCTACTGGCAAGTTTAGATGCAGGGAAATCCTTACCTTACATTGCTAAGTTTGAAGAAACTTTGATAAAGATTACTAAATGTTACTTGAATAGCCCCAAAAAGGAGAAGAGATGCAAAAAAAATTGTAAGGGATACATGTGAAAATTTTGCCCACTTCACTGATGTGAAACATTGTGAGCTACAAAGTGAAACCCCAGTAGGAATTTCTTTTTTTTTAATAATGCTCCAACAACACTTTTGGAACCCATCATAACAGCTTCACCATCAAAATTGGCTAATATTAATATTGGAACTGTTTTTTGGGAGATTTCACATCTGTCAAATCCAATGACGGCAGCTTAATTCCATTAACAATATCATCTAGGACACCTCATACATGTACATGATCCAGTGAAACAAAATCTGTTAACCCTTCCATTACGGGCTGGGTGGATTCCACCCAGCTTGTAACCACGAAAGTATCTATGAGAGTAATTATACTATGATTTTTGATAATGTACTTGTATATGTTTACAAAATTTTGCAGGTTATTGGTAAATATTACAAGGCTTTCATACACAAAATATTAGGTTTTTAGATTAAGTATTAAGATTTTTTAATTAAAGATTTTCTCATAAAATTTTTTCTTTCAGAATGTTGACTTTCCAGCATGCAAAGTAATTTTGATTTTAAGATTAAAAATATTTTTATGCATCAGAACATTTTTCAAAATTCATGTGTGAATTCCTTATAGCCTCTATATAATTTTCACTACTGTATTTCTGTACGAGTTGGTTCGATTTGACCAACTTTGCAACCTCCATAAAAAAGAATTAGGAAATAAATAGATGCTTTTTTGTTTTAGAGTGACTACAAATTATAACACGAAAACACAAATGTTTAGTCTAAATAGCTTAAATTTCATAACATTATTCATTTATGTATATTTATTATTTTTATCATATTGACCTTTCAGCCGTGCCTGGCTAACATTATAGAACTTAGAAATTGCAATGATGTGTGCACATGAACTCATGTTACCATATCCAAGAATATAAAACTGGCCTTTACAAAGTGATCTGTCTTGGCTGTGTTTTAGTGGACTAGTATTTTGTAAAATACAGTCACATTTCAGTTTTAATATATATTACTATTTAAAATATGTTCTCAAATTTCAGTTATTTTTCTTAAAACATAAAACAGTAAATAAAGCATTATAGAAAATAATTATCTCTTTTATCTATGATGTGAGGATGTGAAACAAAATAATTTTTTTTAGGTTTTATATATACATTTTGAAATAACCAAAAATCATAAATTACTACATCAATACCATAGAATTCCACTATAACTTGTAAAGTTTAGTAACTAAGCTGTATTTGGGTCTAAAAAAAGCATGAAATTTCAAGCTCACTAAAGACTTGCCTTATCTTTTGAAATCTTCCATGAAAAGAAAGGATTTCCCATGTAAATACTTTGTAAAGGCTCAGAGAACTATATGGGAGAACATTCTGATCTTTCAATTAGTTATTCACACAAGGTAGATAAAAGTAGGTGTGCGTAAGGAAGGGTTTTCAAAAATGGAAAGAGGTGGGTGGGGCCATGGTGTTTGATCCAGTAAATGTAATGATATCTCACTAAATACAAAATATAGGAGGTTCTTATTTTAGATTCTAGCTTATCAGTATCAGTAATTTGAGTTAGTAATTCATAAGAAACTATAGACTTTGTAGGTTGGACATCACAAACATCTAATTTAAAGCAATGCTCCATTCAACATACCACGTGACACACAAAAATTGGTATTTAGGATTTTGTTTTATATTTACTTTTAAATTAAAAAATTAACTAATGGATCATACTAAAATTTGAATTATAATCTACAGTTTGATACCAAATTTATTGACATACATTCATAAAGTAGTAGTTCAATAAAATTTTGAATGCAAGTCAACAAATGCAATATGACATGACCTTTGACCCATAGCGATAGGGTTAACACTGTGTAGAGATTTCCCCCATTGACAACCCTTACTAGCACCATTTCCTGTTCAATGATGGCATTATTTGTACTCCCATCAGCAACAATATAGATGACCCATCTTCCACTAACTTTATCCTTGACACCATGTCCAAGGATATCTGCCTCATACCTAATGAATTTAGAGGCTTTCCTTCTGTTGGTGTAATTGTCTTCTACATCTACACCAGCCTTCTCAATTGTTCTGCACAGAAGTTCCTACTCTGATAGAGGTTTCCTTGTTTTGCAATTTAATATGAATGCTGTTAATCTTTTCCACCTCCTTCACTTTGTTCGTTTTGCTGCACAGTAAGGGGCTGTAGAACTGGGAGAACTCACTGTCTCAATAGCAACACTGTCTGATCTTGTATTCTCCTGATTGTACCACATATGCTGTATGAACTGTGTGTTTTGTGTGTGTTCTGATTGGTTCAATATGAAACTAATCACATCCATTCAAGAAAGCATTTGTGCCTGATCAGAGTGACTAGCTGATATTGTAGGATATTTCAGGCAAACTTCACAATACATTTTGTAGACTTGTTCTCCCTGGGACTGGCTTTCCTTACAAACTAACCATGGCCAAGTATCTTTCCAATGAGAGAGAAACATTTTTTTTTATTTCCATCAAGTTTTTTATTGTTTGTGGCAAAGAGCTGACTGCTTCTACTAGCAGATGCAGCATCATCACTGGCAGTTGGTTTTACAAGGCTCTTTTTTTTTGCCTTTGTCTTCACGTTTTTACTTAACTTAAAGTTCAAATGACTCTGAAACATGGTTTACCCTTTCCACTGAAGTTGAGTTCTAATGTTTTGGGATCCAGTTTTATTACGTGCTTCAATTTTTTGTGTGTTCTGATTGGCTTAAAACAGTCTAATAGTGGGGAAAAACTTTGAATGAATTTTAACAGCATTTTTTGAATAGTGAAATATGAGTGAGAATTTATTTAAATGTAATTCAACAAGTGACAGAAAAAAATTATATTTCTGTGCTGCAGTACAAATTAATGAAAGTTATTGTACTTTTGTGTCTACATGCAAGCTCATTTCTCTATCATAGCTATATATAAGTTGTGTTAAACTAGCTGTTTTGATTATTTATTAATATGATCATTTTTAATTCATCAACGAACTGTATACTGTATTCCACTTTCATTTCCATGTGACTGTTTTTCTGTTCTTGCTCTTGCGTTACTTATGGAATTTGACATAGTGGAATATATGTAGATATTGCACTATCAATACAGTATTTGCCCATTTATTCACTGCATAGACGGTAAGTGTAATTTATTTATTACCAGTCAAACTATTTAGAGTATTTATTTTAAAAACTGATGTGATTAAGTATGTTGGGGTTCATATTAACGTTACATCATTTTATAGTATAATTTACCAAGTAGAAAGGTATTTTAACACTGATCCTTTAAAATGCTAGAAATAAAGAATTACCATTTAATTTTTATTTTTTTATTAATTTCAAAAAACACCCTCTGCAACCCATAACATTCAAACATACACAAAAATGTGACCGACATATCCACTCTAACACATTCCCCCACTCTTTCATCACATACACAAACATGCATATATCTGACCATCAAACAGAAAACATTTAACACACAAGAAAAGTAAACAGTAGCAAATCTCTGAGCTTTCCTCGAGTAGCCTCAGCAGATATTTCTTTTGTAACATCTCAACCAACAATTGATCCAGTTATCAACTCGACTTTCAAGATCTACGTATCTACATGTGCTGAGGTTTCCATTTATCAACGTTATATTTTAAGATCTGTGCAAGAACTCGGCTAACAGATGTTTCCGAATATAAAAGCTATCTTCCAAATAAGATTCCTTTGTTGAAATTGGCACCATTTTTATCAGTCATATATGAGACAATGTCTTATACAATGTCCAAATTGGCAAAGCATGATCCAGTAATGGGTAACAGATATGATATGACACTGCTGTCATAAAACTGATGATAATTTTAATCCCATTATTCATTAGTTGACCAATATGAATTTACTAATATGATCACATTTTGTTTATAAGAGTCTAAATAAGACAATTGTACTAGTCTAATGTATGCAGAAGTTAAAAAAACAAACTTTTATGTTTTCATTCCAAAATATATGGTACAGTCATTACATGGACTTTTTTCTTAAAAGCCACTGCAATTATCAGTATTTTGTGTAAGATATATTAAAAACTAATGTATATAATGTTTGAATATGTAATGCGCTTCTATTAATAAAGGTACAATAATACATTTTAAAAGGAATGTTGTGAAATATTAGATTGAAAAGGATTGTGTGCAAAAAATGTCTAGTTTGAGTTGTATGTGCAATTTTTGTTATTGTGTTTTTTTTTTTGTATTTAATATTGATTCCATAGTGTGTCTCCAGTTTTATTGTTTTTTACTTTCAGTGAAAGAGCTCATCACTCTTCATGAGAAACATTTAACCAGACCTACATTGGATGATAGTACAGCTGAGGAACGTGAAATTGAAGTCTTAACAAAAGCTATCACACGTGTGAGTATTTGAATGTTTACTTACATTTAAAAGTCTCATTTTATGCATAATGTGTAGTATGTTGAGAAATAGTTTCATAAAAATTTCTTTTCTGTTTTTACTCAAAAATATTATTATATATAATATGTTACTGGTAAATGCAATATATCAATAAATTGCACTGATTGTAATATATTCAAACAATCCTGCTCTCAACAGATGAATTATAATGGCTGGAGACGGCTTGAGTGGGTAATGAAGAAAAACTTTAATACAACAG